GGAAATAAAGTTCCTTAGATTGTGTTTTAATGAGAAAAAGAAGGTGAAAATTTAATGTATCTTTATTTAGACTATGATAAAAGCTTTAATAATGCAAGATAAACTCTGCACAAGAACCAGTACAATTGCTAGGGCTATTTATTTTTGCAACAAGCTTATTTTCTTTTGTTCCCAGTTTCAGTGAAGCACTTTTTAATGTACAAATTATTTGGTAATGGACCCTGGGTCTATTCTGTCTGAAACATTAAAGCGACATGTTAAATATTTACATTTTCTCCTTTTCACAAAAACACAAAGGAAAATTGTGCCTTCCAGTTTTAGCATGAGCCCCGCACATTACAGTTCGGTAAGCAGTAGCTGCGGCTTTCACTGCAAGGTTAGAAGACTGCCTAAAGAGTCAATAAAACAATTATTTTGATTTTTTCTTTATATGCCAATTTCATTATTGGTAAAATTAGAAATAACGTTTTTGAAAAGCTTGGCTTCTGAAGTACATATTGGAACCACAGAACTGTTAATGAACATTGATAGTATGGAACAAGACGGAAGTAAAATCGTTTCGTGTATAATACCATAAAAGTATGGTGCAGCGAGAGACACAGATGCCTTCTGGATGAATATAAACGACAGCATGGGAAGCACAGAGAAAGTTATTTCTGAAAAAACTGTGCTACAGACATTTTTAATGCGCGTATCTTTTAAAAAACATGTAAAAGATTTTATTCCATCATAAAATGAATGAAAGTTTAAAGTACTCATTACTTTTCTTTGGCTAGCATTTTTACCTTTTAAAAATATTTGTAGAAAAAGTAATAAAGACAGACCTCACCATACACTAAGGGTGGATTCCTGGGAAATTAGCAATGTCAGAGAAAGCAATCTTTCCTCACTAGAATAAGCATAACAGATGCATGTAATGGCTTGCAAAACACACATCTTTAAATATACACAGGAAAAGTATGAAGGATGAAGCATGAAGGATGGAAACGAAGGAGCAAACTATCAGGATTGCCACTGAAGTGCTACTTCTAACTAATACCCAACAATCACCTCCTTTTTACATCTGTCATTGTGATGGATTTGATTCACCTGAGGATGAAAATGAAGATGGTGAAAATGTAACTGCTCAGAAAAGAGGCAGAAGCCAACTGTCACAGGGTTTATATCAGGCCTTCAGTGTCCTAGAAGAATCAGCTGAGATCTTTTGACACAGTGATCCAACCCCAAATGCCTGCATTTTCTTCAGTTGATGATCCTACTCCTGCCTTTTGTCCCCCATACAACATATACTATCCCTGTGTATTTAAATTGTGTGCATGCATCCACCTGCTATAACCTTAATTCTTACAGGTAGAACTGCCTTATTGTTAAACACACTGCACTGATTACACTAGTAAAGGATAGAAAGCAGGGTCATGATTGGCAAAGCAAGCCTGAACCTATAAATAAAGCAGCAACACCTATCAGAGTATTCCTGTCCGCGAAATGTATGCATTAGAGAGGTTGAGAAATAAAATAAAGTTTTGAAGCAAGAATCAATTCAACATAAGGTAAAAAGCAATGAAAGGAACCTGCTTGGACAAGGTGGTTTAAGCCCATAGTTGATGAAAGAAAGCTCATGAGTTTTCATAGGAAACAATATATGCAAAGAGCAATAAGGAAGATCCAGCACAAGTAAGTGCCCTTTCCTCCTAGAAGAGGAGGCTGAGAGGAGACCTGATCACTGCCTACAACTACCTGAAAGGAGGTTGTGGAGAAGTGGGTGTTGGTCTCTTCTCCCTAATGACAGATGATCGGACGAGGGGGAATGGACTCAAGCTGCACCAGGGGAGGTTTAGATTGGATGTAAGGAAGTTCTTCACCGGAAGGGTTATCACACACTGGAACAGGCTGCTCAGGGAGGTGGTGGAGTCACCATCCCTGGATGTGTTTAAGAGACGGGTGGATGAGGTGCTGAGAGATATGGTTTAGTGGCGGACAGATACGGTTGGACTGGATGATCTCTAAGGTCTTTTCCAACCCAGTGATTCTATGATTCCTCAGTTTATAATATGGCTACATATTTTCTGCACACTGTGATAAGCAGGGATATAAAAAAGCCCACTGCTGGGCTCCAGAGTCTACAAGAACAACAGCAGCAACTACATCGGTAACTTTGGGATTAGTGTTCACTCTCCTCTGCACCTCCTACAATGCTGATTAATCCTAAGGAAAGACTGACTAGCTGCAACAAAAAAAAGAAAACAAAACAAAAAAATCAGTATTTCTCAGTCCCAAATTTCTTTTAAACTTTCTAATATTTTGAAGAGCAAAGAAGAAAAACTATTATTGAGCAAAACCAAAACTGAAATTAATCAATGCTTGAATTAGAGTACCTTTGAAAAATCTAGGAACTAAGTAACAAAAGAGTTCCCAAGCTTCTCTTCTTCTGGAGATCACTCTTCCACCTTCATTCCCCTAAAAAGTTTAGGAACTACAAATACACTACACTTCAGGTTAGTGTTTCAATCCTAATGGGCCCATCCCCCCCCCGATATTTCTAGCAGCCCTTCCCATAGCTGGGGGAAAAAAAAAAAAAAAAAAGCAAAGCAATTAAATGAGTCCATGGAAAAAAAAAAAAAAAATTTTCTTCATTTTTATATATTTCTCATATACATTTTATGCATCTCTCGCCCCACCAAAAATGAGGACTTATGCTACTGGTGGTATTTTGGACTAAAATAAAAGAGCATGATGAACAGAGAGTCTTTCTACACTTAAGTTACTATGTTTCTCCAAATTAATACTTTGTATATATTAATAAATTTCCATTACTAGTGTAATAAATAATAATTTTGGAAACAATTTTATATACAGATTTCTTAATAATGCTTGAAATTGTTTTGTGGGTTTTGGTTGGTGGTTTTATTTGGTGGTTTGTTTTTTTTTTTCTTCTTTCCCCCC